TACCCTACCCTACCCTACCCTACCCTACCCTACCCTGCCCTACCCTACCCTCCCCTCCCCTACCCTTACCCTTTCCCTAACCCTACCCTAGCTTCATCAGCGGCATATGCCCAGCTTGAAAGGATAGAGGAACCGTACCCTACCTACTCTATCCTACCCTACCCTACCCTTGCCCTTACCCTTACCCTTCCATACTCCACCCTACTCTACTGTACGCCCAATTGTATTATTTCCATTGTCTCCTCTCTTATCCAAACTTTGACCGTCTTTTCTGCCTACCCTCCTGTCGCACCTATCTCTCTACTCTCCTGTCCCATCCTTTTGAAAGGCCTTCCACGATTCGAGTTTCAGGTTCAGAGGCCTGGGCCAAGAAAGGCCATGTCGGTCAGTTTCAGAAAAGTCACGGTCGGGTAACTTAGCAGTCGAGTGCAACAGGCACCCGGCAAACAGTCACATCTCAGGGGTAAAATCGCGTCTCATAATGAAAAGTCATATTGGAAAGTCGCATCCCACGGGCAAAGGACACTTCACAGGCAAGAGTTGTGTGGCCCAGAGGCAGGAGTCACAAACCACAGTCAAAAACCATGTGACACTATCGAAAAGTCGTGACTCGAAGGCCCAAGCAGCAGCATACCAATGAAAATTCGGGAAAGGTACCAGGCCCTGACATTCGAAAGCAAACGGGCTGTGGGGATTTGGTACTGGAACCAAGTCAAGCCCGAAGAAGCAGAGGCCGGCACGAGTTGAAGTTCAGTCCAAGACAATATAAGGACTGGGCAGCCTCCTCATTCGGGAGATTGCTGATTCGCATGAAGTGTGGAAGTGCTGGTGCACTTGTGCGCTATTGGGAAGAGCAGAGCGCTGAGCCAGGGTGTTGCGCTAAGTGATAGAGAGAGAGAGAGGGAGAGTTAGCGCTGGCAGGGAGAAGGCAGCCATAGCTGCGCCAGTGCAGAGTGTTAGTGCTAGTAGTGGTAGTTAGTAGGCATGGCAGTGGGTGTATCCAGAGTACATCCTTGAGTAGTAGTTAGTGGTTGTTTATGCATGTAGGGAGAGAAGACACAGTGAGGACATAGCTAGAGAGAAGAGCAGTGAGAGAGAGACAGAGAGACAGAGAGACAGAGAGAGAAGAAGAGCTGGAGAGAGATACTTACCTGAGAACATCGCTGGTCACTGGTTACCTTTGTATGCGTTGATGAGCGCTGGTGACTTGAACTCTTATTGCTCTCGTGATAATTTTTTGGAAGTTATAAGCTGTGCCTACCTGGTCTTCGTCTCTCTGGCCTCCAATGTGAACTTCGTGTAATCTCATTTGTGCGTGCATCGTGTGAGATTGTGTGCACTCCTTGGTGGTGAACTGGGAGGGGTTCATTGCACTTTGTGTTCTTCTTTTATCTCTACTGTTCTGCGCTATCCTTTCCGTTCTTCTTTTCTTTCTGCTGTTGCGTCCTTTCTCATTCTGTCCAACCCGTTTCCTGTTTTCTTAGTCTCGTCCTACCTTATCGAAACTCCAATCCTTTTGTTTCCCTAGTCTCCCATCCCAGCTATCTCTATCTATTCACATGTCCAAATTATATCCGTTCTATTCGTCTTCTCTCCCATCCCGGCTATCCTCTCGTCCTTTTTCATTCTGTTTCTGGACTGTGTACACTGCAGCGGTTCATTGTACTCTATTAAAGTTTAGAGAACTTCAGACTCTTTAGACTCTTTAGTTGGTAGAGTTTTATCTGGTGAAGTAAACCCGGCTTCACTGCTCTACTCTGTTCGCGGAGGGACTGTATCAACCTGTTAGGAATTTCTTTATTAAAATTTAAAACAAAAAAAAAAACAAAAAAAAACATCACAGCCCCTTTTATTCTGAGGTGCATCAGTCCGGTTGCGTACCGCCCTCAAGCATGACTCAAGAGTCAAGATACATGAGCAAGGTTGAAGACAACCTGCTAGAAATTTGATTTTATTTGATTTTATTTTTTTTTCGCTTTGAAATTTCACCAACAAGCGTTTACCAAGTTTTATTCCGTCAATAGAGTCAATGGACTCAATACTACTAGATAGAGTAATTGAATATATAATTATTATAATAATCTATCCTTCGTAGCTAGTTATAATTTATAACCTTTTTTCCTAGGCTACCAGAGTGGCCCGGGGTCACTTGCCCGGCCGGGCCAAAAACAATTAAAAAAATAAAAATAAAAATAAAAATTTATACATTTCTAAATTTTATTTCTAAATTTGGTGCAGAATTTCGATGTGACCCTGAGGCAAAAGTTGTTCAGTTTATTTTTCTGCATAACATAGTTTGTTTTCGGATTTTTTTGATTTTTTTATTATTTTTTATTTTTTGCTGGGACCTTCCCTGGTCCTTGCACGGGCTGGCCACCGGGACCCGGGCGGCCCGGCTGGTAGCCTAGCTTTTTTCGTTCTGCGGGCGGTACCGGGCCGGTAGGGTCTGGGGGCCGTAGGGGGGGGGTGTTCGGGGGGAGGTACCGACCCTGTAGGGCCTGGAGGCCGTGTGGGGGGGTGTTCGGGGGGCAGGGCTGGGAGGTAACTGCTGACTCTGTATTTCAACAGTTTGTGGGGTACACCACGATACGTGACCGTTGGCTTTAAGCCAACGGATTAATGAAAAAAATAATAATAATAACCTAACTAAAGCTGAAGCGCCACATGGCGCTACTTGAAGTCCCCAGAGTTGAAGCAGGCGCCCGTCACGAACGGGCAACCGTTTCAGGTAAGGTTTTTTGTCTTTTCTTTTTTTTTTTTAATTTCTTCTTAGATTTTAGATTTTCTTTTAGATTTTGTATTTTTTTAATTGTTCTTCTTTAGTTCCCCCACCCATTGTTGTAGCAGTGTGCAGCTGCACCCGTTCGTTTCTAAAAACGGGGGCAGCTGCCAACGACCGCCGAACCTAGCGCTATTGGCGCCCAGGTACGGACGAGAGAGAGAGGGAGAACGAAACCCACCAGAGAGTGCCCCACGAACTGTATGACTGATTGACAGACAGACAGACAGACAGACAGACAGACAGACAGACAGAAAGACAGACAGAAAGACAGACAGGCAGACA